AACTTAACTACGTGTGTCGAATCAGGAATCATTGTGAGGTTGTGTCGAAAGGAGGTACATGTTATGATCCAATTAATCTCTATAATTCAGCTTCTGTCGCCATGAATCTTTATTACCAAAATCAAGGAAGACACTATTCAAAATGCGATTTCGAAGGCTCTGGTATAATTACCGTAACTGATCCTAGTGAGTTTTATCTCTCCCTTCTTCTTTGTTTTTTTCTTCTAAACAGTGAGTTCTATCTGACCTCAAATCATTTTTTTTCAACAGGTTGTGGATGTTGCATATATGAATTTTATAAGTAAAGCATAGAAAGCTTCGCCAATGTATTTGTTACAAAATCAAATAATTCTGATAGTTCATATTTGATATCTAAGATTTGAATAATTAATGGTTCAATTTTCCCTTATATATATTAGTGTTTGAAATTTATTTCATGAGGTCAAAAAACCATCTTATCTAATATCATATCGATATGTACCTCTATAATTATGTGGACGATGTTTGTTTACATCATAGAGACAAAAATTAATTATCTCTTTTAAAAAATAGATGTAATGGTTTACCAAAAATAAAAAAAAAATAAAAAAAAAATAAAAAATAGATGTAATTGTTAAGTTTAAGTCCAATTCCTGACTAATTTTTCCGAACCAAATTTATCACTAAATTGATCAAATATGTATGTGTTCTGATTTAATATGCGGGAGAAAAATTATCAGATCACACTGTCCCAATCTTAAAACTGTAAATGTAAAATTTACCAAAAATTCACTAATTTTAGACTATATTCATAGTTTTTTTATGGATACTATAGGAATAAACTTTACTATTGAGTTAAACATATAAGACAATCTAATAATCTACATATACATTTTTACAGGGGATTTTTACAAAAAGTCTTTTGGATCCGGGTTTTACCCGGGTTTAACTCTACTCGGATCTAGAATAAGAAATTTAAGGAAGTTTGTAATAAAAACGACATTAATTCTTAATTAACACCTAAATTAGAAATATATATAATATATCTAAACTAACCATATTTGTTATTTACCTTAACTACTTCTAACCATAATTATTTAACTATTTATTTCTATATAGAAAGAATATGTGATTAAAATAAATATTTTGTAAAAGATTGATTTGGGGAAAAATTGTTATTACGAAAATAATTTGTTTTGTTATAAAAATTAATATTTGTTATTTGTAATTAAATTACATAAATAGTAATAATAATTTGTCTACACCATCAAATGAAAATAGTTAGTTATTTATTTTTTTATTTAATATTACGTCATTTTTAAAAAATAAATTCAACAATATAATGTCAATGAGTTTAATTCTAAAGATTTGAAAATATTAAAAAGATACTAACCAAACATTATCTATCCTAATTTGTTTCTAACAATTTCGACACAAATCTTTCGAAAATTTAATGTGATCACAGTTTGTTACTAAAATCTCGATTATATGCCTAAAATCTCGAGAAGATCTTCCTTTAAATCCGCAAATTATAATTTTTGAATTAAATAAACTAACAATACGAATATTCCTAATATATTCGAGTACTAATAATCCTTATTATAGTATATTCCTTATCTAAATACTAAATCTTTTATTTTTAATTCTAATCAAAATTTATGAAATCGGAAATCAATCATGATTTCTTAAACATCCTTAAATTTCGAAATAATCAACAATTCGAATATGCTGAAAAATCATAACGAAATATCTTTATTTACTTAAATGTTTTAATAATCGTTATAGCAAAAAAATCAATTCCAGCGCTATTGGTTCTTTAAACTTTTTGATTTACATAGATATTTTGTATTCCATAATTAACTCATTAAATTATTTGATTTAAATAACTACAATGTGAAAATTAGTATATGTAATAAATATAACATATAATATTTACGAGATTTTCATATACTTGATCCCCAACCCAAATTGGCGAATATATTATTTCTCATAAAATATCTTTAAAAGATTTTTTTTGTTTCGTTTAGATATTATTCAACAAACTTCCTCCCACCCATGGAATATCTTTAATTAGCTTTCCTCATTCATAATCCCACCATGCATATAGACGTTTTCAGTTGATAATAC